CTGCATTATCTACCATCTACTCGAATCAACCCGAGACTAAACGTGGGTGGATGGTGGGTTAAAATTTGTCAATCCTTTTAAGCTCGAGTAGATGCATTTTATGATCAAAATCCATCCAACCCACCCAGTGCCTACCCCTAATTGGACCTATTGTTATAGGTTGCAAAAGGTAGCCTATATTCTCTTCTTGGCAACTAAATGGCTCCTTATGTTTTGAAGTTAATTCTTTAGTGAGAAGTGAGAACATACATATTGGTTAATCTTTTACTACATTGCAAGGATTGAAATATCATACCGGAGGTTGTATCGGAAAATTCAGCGTATGATATTTTAAACTGAAATTGTGGTTCAACCATCTCATACCGTCAAATACCGCCTACCGATCTTGCTTCTGGCAGTATATTTTTGTGGTCGAACCACTGGTAAAATACAAATTTTCAATCATTGCTACATTGTGAGCACTTATCGTGCCAACATGATAACTGATGTAACACTCTAACCTATACGTATTACCTAATCATATTGGTCATACATTCGCAGCGAAAATAATCTCGGGTGTTACATTAATTCCCAAAATTATGCAAATTAAAATTTCGACATGAATTACTCCCGTAATAGGCTAACAGTTCTTGCAACTAATCCTGGAAAATAATTTATGTGAATCTCTGCATTCATAGACATACATATATATATACTCACAACCATATAGATTGGTTTTTCATCGTCATAGCCACAATTTTATACTCTGCAATTGCATACCATACATATACATGTCATAATCGGCACTACAACACAACCACACTCATATACACATATAGTCAACATTCTACACCTATGGATATCTCATACTACATCAGAAACTAGTATGCACATGAAAAAATTTCTCAAAACAGTTTTACAAAAAAGGTGTGGATCTCTGGCCAAAATCCCGAGTAGTCATCCAAGCACATAATAGTTGAGGACCATACCTCATTTTGCCTTCAACTCTAGCTTAGCTCCCACCTAAACACCTATCTACTGTTGCTGCTAATGATCTGCTTACACATGGTATAAGCAGGGGAAATGATAAAAGAGGGTTAACTCATAGCTGAGTGAGATTATCATTGTATCGTAGTTCATAACAAAGCATACCCCTATCATACATCTAGCAATCAAACCAAAACACTAGCGACAGACCTCAGCCATCCAACATCCCAATAGGCAAAAAACTCAACCACCTTGACTCATGCATATGCGTCTTATCATGTTTTACTTGTAGGCGTCTGGCTACTCCCATGCTAATTACTCTAACGGGAAAACAAACCAAACATCTCGTGGATGTGGTCATATCGGACCCACCACTATCACTGTAGTCATATCGGATCTGACACCACTCTAGGCGTGGTCATACACGACACCACTCTGGGTGTATACATATCTCATGAAAAATCATCGGTCAACACCACATAAGAGGTGTGACATAACCTATCACACGAAGTAATAGCATGGGGAGCCTAATTACTATGTAATTGACCATGAGACCAAATCACTCTTATTTGGTAACCTTATACATGATCCATAACTCATCTTGCTTAATATTAGTTCGTTACTTGAACATGTACTTAACTTGGCCATAATTGGCTCAACAAAGGTAAATCATGAGTCGTATAATTGCACTTCCTCGGGATAAACCCTCGTGCAAAGTCATCCTCCATAAACATCGTAGTATAATTTGGGGAAGTATATTTTCCCATTTGTGAATCCAAATACAACAATCATGTGAACTTATATTCAAGTACCTTCTCAAACCATCATAAGACATATCAACAGTTAAGCCCACAAATGGCAACATATATGCAATTATCAACATAAACATGGTCCATAATGATTAAAACAAGACAAAAATATGTTATAGAAGTCTAGGGTTCATCATATAGGTTATAGCACAAAAGTCCATACACCCCTAATCATGCAATTCTAGTTGACCTAGGTCATTTCTAAGCATAAATATAATCATTGTGATATGAAAAACTCGGTATGTCGTGCTAATCCCTCACAAATTATGGTAGTTCAAGTACGGTTTCTGCCTCTTTTACTAGAACTTGGATTTTCACAAATGAACCCGAAATCAAAATTTGAAATCGTCCTAGTATCTCATGCAGTGTCCTCGTCAATGTTAGTTCTAGGCTCTAGGTTGAATTTCCAATAAAAACACATGATACCCTAGTCGGAGCAGAAATTAGCAGTTCCGACTTTGTTCAGATAATTCCCGAAATTCATAAGTTAAAACTAGAAAATTTATTACCTCGACGCAGATAGCTTGTATATGAAATTTTGGTTTAATCTGACTTTCGAATTTGCCAAAATCCTAACTTTTTTGAGGAGTCGTTCAAGAAATTCATGAACCAAACTTCGGTATAAGCCTTCATATTGATCAACTATGTGATAATGAGGGACTTTCCTTCTGCTTCCCTGATTTTACACTAGTTGAAATCCTCTTTTAAAGACTTGATATCAAATCAAGCCTTAATTTTTTTTATTATTATTAAACTTGTTTTTCACAAAAAAATGAATATTTTTAAAAGTTTTAGGTACCAAAACGTAATTAAAAGATTGAAAATGAAGGCGTCAAAAGGTTACCATTCCACCTACCCAACTTTTTGGGTAGTTGGGCCGACTAGTGATTGACCACAATGAAAATAATTATAGATATCATCCAAAATTTAGGGGTCGTTTGGAAGTTGCGATTGTTTTGTTGAGATTGTCATTATGCATGTATTGTTTACAATGCATCATTTTTTTTGTTTTTTTTAGCAGAAACAATACATGGATTGTTTCTGTGATGTGACAGAAACTATCACTCATTTTGAGTGATTGTTATATCTCAACTCTTAGTTGTGATTGTTGAGATAGTTGAGTTGAGATTGTTTTGTCTCAGCTTTTAGCTGATGCGACATACACAATCACACATACCAAACATTGTATTCTACAATGCATCAAATTCGACAATACATGTATAATATTATACATGCATTCTCAACAATACATCTATTTAACAATCGCAACTTGCAAACGATCCCTTATATATACAAATACTTTCTCAACCACTAATCGCAATGCAAATGTAACATATTAATGAAATAAAATAAGGTTTTCTACTTAATAAATATTTAAATTATTATTTGTTAATAAATATTTCCTATTAGGGCGGAAAAATAGACAAGATCGTTTGAAAAATTGTGGATCAAATCGGACAACACAGTTTGATCCGGACCAGACCGTCTAGAATGATCCGGTCCGATCCATGGTCTGTATTATATAATGTTTTGATTTCTTGGTCTGGTATGGTCTAGATCTCGATTTACCATACCAAACCGTGAACCCAACTCACTTCTCAATACGTGTTAGTAGCCCACTTGACCACTCTCCCAGCGAAACCTAAGACTCAACTCTAATTTTGAGAATCTCTTCCTCCGCTTCAGCACAACCACATTTCACCAGGTAATAGAGATGGTGGTGTCTTCCTATAACATTATGTTAATGTTTATGATGTTACGAATTTACGGTGCAATTTGGAATGTTTTGATTTTGTATCTTTGTTATTTACTGAGATTTAAGGTATGAAAATTATTCATGCATGTTAGAGTTTATGTTTTAAGGTAAAAAATAATTTTTTTCTCGGTATCGGTTTAATTTTTCATATAGTTGACTAAAATATTGTTCATCTGGATCAGACCATACAAGCGTGATCTGAAGTTCTGGACCATATAGTATGTGGTATGTTCTGTGATCTATATTTCAACTTGTCGATCTAGACCATAAATCATCTATACGATCTTATCTAAACCAAACTGCACAATTTCCCAACTCGATTTCCAATCCATTAATTGTTGTCCTCTCAAGTCATACCAAAGAAAAAAAACGAAAATAAAAAAATTTAGGGTCGTTTGGTTTTGGTGATTGTTTGGTTTAGATAGTTATAATCTATGCATTGCCCACAATGCATCGTTTTTTTGAATTTTCTGCACAAACAATACATGCATTGTCTACTTGATTTGACACAAACTATCACTCAAAATGAGTGATAGTTAAATCTCAAGTTTTTGGTAGATTGTTGAGATTGTTGTGCTTTATTTTCTTCCAACTATGTCCCTACATTTTGATGTGTGTTGTTTTTTATATTAAAAACAAAGGATAAAAGTGACATTTCACCCAAAAAGTAATATAAATTATTTAAATAACACAATAACTATCACAAAAGCAAACGATGTAAACTACAATACACCAATTTTCGTATATACATGTATATTATTATGCATACATTGATTGTAATTCATTTATTTAAGGGTTATAGGTATAATATGCCCCTTTACTATGACGTTTTATCAAACATACCCCTCTACTATTTTTTACATCAAATATGCCTATGTACTTTGAAAAAATTATCAAACATGCCCTTCTGTTACAATTTCCATTGAAAAAATCATCAATCATGGTTGAATTGAGATTTAGACGACCCGACATCGACAAATGGGAGGGAAAATTCAGTTTTGTCCCCTATTTATTTCCCTGGGTCTTTTCAAAGTGAAATTATTTGAATGATTTGATTATACAAAAGAACCAAAAAGATTCTAAAGTGAATTTATTAGGGATATTTTAGTCATTTGTTTCGCCCAAACTAAAGTTCGGCGTTGGTTAACGATTTTTGGATGAAAATTTTAACAAAAAGGCATGTTTGATCATTTTTACAAAGTACCGGACATGTTTGATGTAAAAATAGTAGAGAGGCATGTTTGATAAAACATTATAATAGAGGAACATATTATACTTATAACCCTTTATTTAACTATCACCAAAACCAAACCAACCCATAATTCCATTTTTTTTCAACCCACCGTTAGTGTCCCTCTAGCTAGCAAAGCCAATTTTGAGATCCCAAACTTGTATACTGTCTTTTTTTCTATAATTTAAACTTGTAAATTGTCAGTGGTAGTATAAATACATCACTTCTCTCTCCCACATCTCCATTTGGATCCATTTCTTTGGGGTTGTTCTCTCTCTCGACTCGAGAGCCTCGCAATCCCCCCATTCCTTCCACAACTCCGTTGGATCAGCAGCCAGCTAGAGTAACAACCAATTCGTCAGCGCCGGCCGATATGTTTCTATTCGACTGGTTCTATGGAGTTCTCGCATCTCTTGGGTTATGGCAGAAAGAGGCCAAGATCCTCTTCTTGGGCCTCGATAACGCCGGCAAGACCACTCTCCTTCACATGTTGAAAGACGAGGTTCGCTTCTACTTCTTCCCTTCGATTTCAGTTTTTCTCTTTTCTGGGTCCGATCGATTTTGAAGGAATCTTTGATTTAATCTGTGGTGGGGTTTTTTTTTTGGCGGGGGATCTGGTTTCTTTTTTGCTCGGCGCTTTATCGCAGAGACTAGTCCAGCATCAGCCGACCCAGCACCCTACATCGGAGGAGTTGAGTATTGGGAAGATCAAGTTCAAGGCTTTCGATTTGGGCGGCCATCAGATCGCTCGCCGCATCTGGAAAGACTATTACACCAAGGTTCGGTAGCTTTACGTTATTCTTTTGTCTCTGTTGTGTGAAATTGGAATTTGGATGCTTTCATCGGCTTGTGGTCGCGAGTGCACGCGATCTGTTTGATTGATTGTCCCTGTGAGTACTGTCCTCCTAGTTTTGTCGCTTTATTTTTTGCTGATTGGAAGCTGTGAAATTGAGCTTAGTGGCTTTGCCTGCTTTTGTTGGTTGATCGATGCATTCTAGTGGTAGGAATGATGTATAAATTTTTGGGGATCTCGGCATGTTCTTCAAGTGGGATGCTGTTGAGATTCAGTGTAGAGTGGAGTATTATATACTGTTACTGAGGATGCTGTTGACTTTCTATCCTGTGTATCGTTGTCTTGCTAGTGTTATTGTACAGGCTATATTGTTATGTGGTCTTAATTGGATGAATGTAATCGCTTGATAGTCTGAATGGCCTCCATTAATCCCAGATGACCTCATTTTGTGTTCTTCTGATTCACGAGAGGCCGATACCGAACATGGATTTTTTCGCTGATGGCACCTCTTTATACTTTCTGGGAGGTTGTTCTAATAGTAGATTTCCATACATTTCATTTGTTCTGAAACTTGAGATTAACCTGTTCCTCTTTGTTCTTTTCATCCAACTGGTATGAAACTTGTTAGGAGGTATATAGCTGTTCTGGATGCTGTGTTTGAGGTGTTAAGTTGTTCTGTATGCTGTGTTTGAAGTATATAGTTGTTCTGTATGCTTCTCGAGTTCTGTTATTTCACTATCTTGCATTGACGCCATATCTAGAAAGAGCTAAAACAGGAACTAAAGCCCATCTTCTTTGCATGAACAGGTGGATGCAGTTGTCTACCTTGTGGATGCCTATGACAAGGAAAGGTTTGCCGAGTCCAAGAAAGAGTTGGACGCACTCCTATCGGACGAAGCACTGGCCAACGTTCCGTTCCTCATTCTAGGAAACAAGATTGACATCCCCTATGCATCTTCAGAAGAAGAGCTTCGATACCATCTAGGGCTTACCAGTTTCACAACTGGCAAGGGGAAGGTCAACCTCATGGACTCCAATGTCCGGCCTCTTGAGGTCTTCATGTGCAGCATCGTCCGCAAGATGGGTTATGGGGATGGCTTCAAGTGGCTCTCTCAGTACATCAAGTAGAGAGAGGGAGAGAGATGAAGCAGCAGATATAATAGATGGGTTCTTCCTTCTTCATTTTCTTTTCTTTCTCTTTGCCCCTTTTTTTCTGGGTTTATCTTCGTGACATTTTTGCAGTTATTTGGCACAATTAGATTGGAAGAATGGAATTCTTTGTTGTTGTTATGGGTAGAACTGAATTGGTTGGTTGCAGGATTAAGCAAAACTTGGCAGTATAAACCATCCTCTATTGCTATATAGCTCACTGTTGCAGGTCAATCGCTGAAACTTGCTGGACAAGAAAGCTGATGCTATGTTTGTGACACCAAAATGTATCGACCTGTTCTTGTTCAAATCACATTTGACACATGCTTTGAGGCAGTTGGAAAGTGGGAACTGTATGTAATCTTATAGGACAAGCTCAGGTGAAGAGATAATTTGGGGTGACTGAATTTTTTTACTGCCGCATTTGGAAAGGGGAAAACAAGTGCTCCATCGTCGCTTGGGTAGAGTTCCGTTTGTTTTTGGTGAGCAATAGGAAGAGGAAGAGGCACCATCAATGAGATACAATAGATCAGTTGTGTCTTCCTTCAAGAAATCTCTCATCGCGAGACACCGACAATCTTTGCATTTACGTTAGCAAATGATTCAAGCAGTTGATACCGATAATCCGCAATCTTCACACCTCATGTTCATCTATCTGAAACAAGCATATTGGGAGATTGAGACGTATTTGTTCTAGCCATCCATACATAGTCGAGATGCATCATCATATCGTTGCCACTATAAAATCCATTTCACTCATTTCAGTAGTACACGAGGAGACTATTGAGAAGTTAGGTTGTAGCTTCTTCCTCTTTTTTATAAAATGGAATTACGATCTAGCTAGAAGCGTCCTTGTTTGCATGAAACCTAATCAACCCCCTAAATCATCGTCACCATCACAGTGGCAATAGTAATATTCACACTAAACCACAGGGGACCTTTTCAGTACCTGAAAAACACTATGAAAAGGCAACAATTACGCACCTAAAGGTTAACCCTCTACCTTAATGCACAGAAAAGTCATTAGGCAGATCATGTACAGGCTACCAAACACTGCCTTAGCTGGAGAAATACCTTGCCAAGATTATCAGTTCTTTGTCGTTCAGTTCTCTGCTGCTGTTGTCCTTTTTTTCATCTATCCATCTCATTGTCGCAAGAGAGAAGACTGTCGTATTCCGCCTGCAACCCAGAAACAGGGAGAACACTTTCAGTTTTCTTTTCTTATACGAAATCATAAGGACAGCACAAAAGAATGTAAGCTATCATCAAAGTGACGCACCGAAGCTTCATTGTAGGCTAGTTTCATCCTTCGGTACTCAGCTTGCGCTTTCTTGGAACGAAACATGGCTTGAACAGTTACAACAGCTCTTTCCACACGCTCCTCGGCTTGTTTACGACCGGCTACGAAGAATTCCTCCTCTGCATCACTTGGCTGTCCGTCTTCTACGATTGATTCAACTGGCTCGATTTTAAGTCCGCGGAAGCCTTTTCGCTTCAGACGCCACCTTAAGATTACCTTTTCGAGCACTCCAACTGACCACAGGATCTTCCTGTACTGTCTCCTGACTTGGAACCCGCGGAATGCAGCCTGCAGTGGCAGAAAGTTTTTACAATAAGTTGAGTTCATGGAGTGGAATAGATGTTTTTATTAGAAAAAAATATCCATGGGACAAGAGCTGATTTATTTAACAGCAACAAATGAAAAAAACTTGTGAAATGATTATCACGGATACGATATCTGAGAACAAATTCTTATTTTGAAAAGTAAAGGGCAAAGCTAAAGATAAAGCTCTCTGTATGATGTGAATTTTTTAATCTTTAAATAGTTCATGGGGCTCTATGTTTCGCTTAACTATTTTATGTACCTTGAGATTTTGAAGATATAAACAAACGTAGCCTGTAAGGCCAACAAGGATCTTGAATTATAGAAGCTTACTTGAATCCTGATGACCTGACGCCGCATATTGAGAAACTCCTTTCGCATTTTCCAGGTGCGAAACCTGTACTGGATGCGAACAGCAGCAGCCATCTTTTTCTTGGTCTCATAGTTGCGAAAAGCATGTTGAATCTTCAATGCAGCAATTATGCTCCGAGCTTCAGCCTCTGTACCCGAACTCTCCACTGCTTCGGTGCGCAACTTCAGTGACTGCTCTCTGAATGCTGCCTGTATACGAGCTGCTGCATCGGCAGCTGTGCGGTAGGCAGCCAACGTATCCTTAAGGTACAGTTCTTCCTCGCTCAGGTTTACGGCATTAGTGGGTTCAGCAGAGACCGGTTGTAGTGAGCCGCAGATGTTTCCAGCTATCGACATGTCCTCAAAATGTGTGACCAGAGCTCTTTCAGATAGGTAAGCTGCCAAGCCTTCGTAGCCTTGAGCAGCTGCAAGATCAGCAGGAGTGCATCCACCAGGGTTATCTGCAGTTGGGTCTGTGACCAAGTTCGCCTTTGCTTTTGCAGACAGGAGAACCGCGACCATTTTCTCCCTGAAACATTTGAGGCACGACAGGATTACAGAGAATTGGAAGCCATAGATCAAATCAACAAAATTTCACTTCCTTTCACTCCGCTTAGCCCTATCCCCTGTGTTTGGCATTTTATTGAAACGCAAACTTGTAGCGATGAACTCTTATGTTCACTAATTACAATACTTCAGAACAAGTTCTTGGACAATAGGCCAAATGGACCCAAGCACAAAGTACATGAGTAGAGGGTTCCTTCCAGAATCCTTGTTTGGTCGAGCTAAAAAGGATACCAAGCTCTATGGAGTTGAAAATCCATGAGCCACTGTATTTCATAATCACCCCAAAGTGAAAGTGTGTGAAATCAATCCATGATATTGTCTAGCATGTCCTTTTTTGGTAATAATGAGATGAGCTTACCCAAGCCTCCCCGTCTATTTTAGTGAGGGTTTAAGCTCATTCATTCTACTAACAGAAACACATTCAAATACACAATTCTGAAACCTAACTAATCATAAACAAATAACAATTCTATCTGATGGAAATTACACAGTCCATCACTTTCAAATCCTACATAGCTACATCCATACAACCCTCTATATATAGGTAATATTTTGCTGATAATAGCAACTCTATTAATGTTAGTGACAATATAGACCATGATATGGAACTGGAGTTTCTAACCAGGATGAATGAGCTAATTATGGACATGATGCTAAATGCAAATGTAACAAAAAATTTAAAAGGCCATACCTTCCGTAATAAGCTGCCCAGTGAAGTGCTGTCCATCCGTGTTTGTCACGGAAATCTATAGACAAACCTGACCATGAATACAAGTAAATGGCCCAAGTATACCCAAGTCTTGCGCACAAATGGATTATCCCTTGACCTTCAGCGTCATATTCATTGGTTTTACACCCTTCAAGCACTCTTTCCAACAGCCAATCCTTTAGCATGTTCTTTAAAGAAATTTCAAACATGTCGTCTTTGGCTTGCACCAGTGAGATCCTATTCTCGTCTATCGACTTGAACAAAAATGACCAACTACGAGAAACGTTGGAGGTTTTGTTGGCGAACTTCTTAGCTTGCTTCAGGCTACTTGGGGATACTTTACTGCTTGCCAGGTTTAGGGTCCTGGATGTAGATAGAAGCAGATAAGCGAGTCGCATCTGGAGATGGAATTGTTCCCACTTGGAGTTTTCATCGGTTGGCACCACATCATCAACATGCTGCGCAGGCTTGCGGTACTCAAAATTCAGGACTTGGCTGACTGGTTTATGACCATCCAAACTGAGACAGAGATTCACTACTCCAGGGGAATTAGGAGATAAGAAACAGCGATATACCCCGGGCTGAACTACCTCAGCAGTCACAAAATCATCACCACAAACACAAACCAGGTTGGAGTTTGCCAGATGCTGATACTGTTCATGGAAATAACCAGTAACAAGAATCTGCAGTAACCATTAGGTGTGGGTTAAATACAGGAGGTGCTAAGTCTTGAAAGTGGGTTTCAGTAAAGTGGAACTAACCTTTGTTGTCTCAGTTGAAAAGGCCCAAGAAGGAGAGATATCAGTTATAACAAATGAGTGCTCAACAGAATATTGATGTTCGCCAATTGATGGAGAAGCAGATGACCCATCACCAGATGAGGTAGAAGGTTCAAGCAGATGATCGTCAAGAGACGCCGCAGATTTGGCCATTATGTCATTAATCCACCTTCCAAAACTATCCTGACTTTGCAAACCATCAGCTAGTAAAATGTTCGGTGAAGTATCAGGGTTCATCACTCGAGGATCTGTGCTTGGTGTGTTCGGATTTACTTGGAGATTAGCAGGCTGAAGATAACCACCATCTGCAGTACTGGTAAAAGCGGTGCCAACGTTGACATATGGGGCAATGACTTGATTTACAGAGGTAACATCCTCAGATATATTAGAGGATTGAACGCTATTGGGCTGCAAACAAAGAATGTGTGTCGACATTTGTTAAATGTTCCTTTGTAATAAAAGACAACATATGAGGTGCTTACTAAGAGATATGCAGATTAGATTCCAGAGATTGCAATCACAATATGCAGGCACGCACAGTAAAGAAGATCCACTAAAATCTTGCTTATCCGAAGCATTCTGCACATCAAAATATGCAGCAAAACAAGGATGGACATAACACTGAAGCACTATGTACGCTCGGAGAAATGTTGAATTGATGTTTCAAGGACTATCCGCAGCATAAATAAAAACCATTGGTTACTCCTTGAACCTGCTTCACAATATAATAACCACAAGGGAAGTCTCACACAGAAAGAGACCATGGGGAGGTGCAAGAAATAAGCTTATGATAACAAAGATCACTTACATATATAGCAGATCCATTCACAGCAACTTGATTTTGCTTGTCAAGATAGGAGCTCACATCTGTTCACAGCCAGGAGAAAATTCTTTTAACAATAACCAATAGCAATTATGAAGATATACCACTATATCCTGAAGAAGAAAAGAAAGGATTCGCTACAAATATCCACTTGCATATAACAAGTACAAAAGACTTTGTACCTCTCCCAAATGTTGTTAGCTTGTTGGGATCACCTGCCACCAGATCATCCCATTCAAGTGTGTTGAGCTCATGGAGCTTCAATTGATGATCGCTCACAGGTAAACTACCAGGATCTGTGTATCACATGCATATTGATAAGTAACAAAGAGATAACTATAACAATTTGATCACTCTAAAAGGAGCTAATGAATTGACCAGCGAAATAGAGGAAATCTTCTCTCATTGAAGCATACAAGTATCATCACCTATAAGTTGTTTCTCGCCTGCAGAATATCCAAGACCAGCTCCAGAATCAAATTCTTCAGCTAAAAGCCAAGGAGTAGATGGGTCAGATA